TAGATTTCATAGAAAAAGGTAGAAACAGTTATAATTGAAACTCTATACAAGCCTCAATGCCAACAGGAAGGTAGATCACGGTAGTCGGTAGCCATCCAGTCTTTGGTCACTGGATGAGGAAAGTTGCACTGGAAGGCAAGAAGTTCAGTTTTCTTCGTCAAAGGTAGAGGTACAGGAATCGACACGTAAAAGACTCAAGAGCTCTATGCCCAGAGATGGGGCTTGTTGAAAATGGATACCTTGAGAAAAACAGCTTCTCGGAAAATACAGGTCCCCGGTAACAATAAGAAGTAATAGAGAACAACTATCACATAAAAAAATATTAAAGAAACTTACCACGTGGGTTTCGAAATTCAAACTTAAATAAAACGGTAATCACGAGACTTTTTAATTAAATTTTTCCGTTTATCAATGAACTACTGCCTTACACAACTTTTTTTCGCTAAGATAAGGTAATGCCTGAATGGCGATAAGGTACTTTTTCCACGAGAACGGTAATTTGACTTAAGGAAGGTGACTGATCCCCTAGGCCACACTCGGACCTTTTCAAGGCAACGGCAAGAGTAGAAAAGGGACTCTTCAATTTTCTCTTCCATAATAAATAGAAATCACTTCAGAGTTTTGAAGGAAAACACTGTCAACCTGTCGACCCTCAGCTATGTTAAAACTGCTACGTTCGAAAACTATTAACGAGGTTAAAGAGCAACGAAGTACTGGGGTGGAGTAGATCTAGGTAGTATAAAAGAAAACGCCTACTCCCTTTTCGGGATCGTCGATAAAATAATACATTCAGCCGGCAATAGATGCCGTCATATGGCTGAATAATTATATAAAATTTAAAATGCAAAGATTATTTATATTAAAAAAAGGCAAGTGACATTTGCAATGTTACAGTGTCTCCCTACAACAAGAATTAATTTCTTTACCAAAATCAGGAAGATTTGAACTTCGAAAATGAGCCAGTAACTGCCCATAGAGGTTCTAGCAAATATTTCAGAATCTAATCGCCAAAAGTCTTTAAGCTTCGACAAGGAAGATCCTTCCTATAAAAACATGTTAGATTTACAGTGGAACCCTGAAAGTGACACATTTTCGCAGAGACTTGGCACAAAAAGAAATATCCTAAGTCAAATACCACGGCTGTTCGATCCTCAAGGCTTTCTAAGTACAGTTACTCTCATGGCGAAACATATTATGCAACGCTTGTGGGCCTGACGAATCTATTGTTGATATTTGGAATTAATTTAAGTCTGAACTGCCTAGTGTTAGGTTCCATCCCGTTAACACGACGAGTAGTTCCAGATAATATACAAAATTGCCAATTGCATTGATTTTGCGGCGCTAGTTCTATTGGCTATTCAGCTGTGATATATTTTCGTTTTCTTACTCCTGAGGGCATTTTCATTTCCTTCGTCACAGCTAAAATAAGAATTGCTCCGTTAAAAACAGTTTCTCTTCCGCGCCTGGAACTATGCCACGCTGCTCTTCTTGTAGATTTAAGGCATTGGATAAGATCTGTTTTCGAAAAAATTTTAGTCTTTGAAGAAATATTTGCCTGGGTCAGATTCCCAAGTAGCGTTAGTCTGGATAGCCTCCTCTCCACATCGTTGGAAGGTCTTTGTTGCAAATACGGAGTCGTATCCACGAAAATCTACCTTCACAACATTGGAAGCATATTCGGTCTGCCTTCAATTCAGCCAATATTGGGAACAGGAGTTGTTAGCCTAGTAAGTTACTAAATTACGATCGTATATATAGGTGCGTAAATCAAAGATGGCTATGATTTTTTAACCGTAGGTCTTAGCTGTCTTAGCAATATTTTCCTTTAATTTTGTAGTGTCATGTCAGAAATCCTGATCAATAAAGAAACAATAATGCGACGTACGATTTCCTAATCACTCTTTGTTTTTTCTGACAAGGAATTATGGTTCAAAAATTTGGAAGAGAAAGTAGTCTTCTATTCGCAAATACTGGAATTATATGCTCGGTGAAGAATATACTATTACAGCACTGGTTCCTGTCAATCTTAGGAACGTGGGGAGACCTCACTGCCAGAAACTCCTATAGATCAACACAACGGTTTCTCATGTAGCACCACAAAAACTTACTAACTTGCTCATCAAACTTCAAACCTTTGGCTTTCTTAACAAAAGTACGAATAAGATTAATCCGCTCAACCGTACCGGTTTATCCAGGTGTGTGATGAATGATGTCAGCCATCCTCAAATAGTTTTCAAAAACTCTGCTACAATATTCACCTCCATAGTAAATAAAATAACTAGGTACTGAATAGTTAACATCAAGTTTCACAACCCCACCCGACACCCACATTTCGATAAAACGATAAGTTACGAAGCCTTTAACGAGGTCTCAAAAAATACTCCAGTTGCCATTAACGTTTTACGACGCAGCAGTAACATCTAACTTTCAAAGATAGTAAAATTTGGGTTTTACTATCCGTCCCTAATGGCCAAATTAGGTTTTGCCGTGACATCAAATCAAGTCAACATTATGAAGCATTAGTTTTGCGACCTCCGTTTCGGGTAGAGCTATAAAGTTACATAATATTCTGAAAGTGTTTTTGGAAAACGGGGCCATTCGTTAAAAACGTGGAAGATTGAACGTTTTTGTTAGTTCTAAAATTACTAATTTAATAAAGATTTCATTGATTTGATGTTCTTACCTATAATTTGAAACGTTTGATTATCCGGATGAGTAAGACTTGGAAAAAAAAATTAAATTGCAGCCTCCGTTTGTTTCTGTAAAAGCTCAACTACATTCCTGGAAAAAAATTGTTTTCATTAGCCCACTGAGCTTTTCTCATTCTACCTAATGCATTTCGTTAAAGCTAGATGACAAAAAAACTGCCTTCAAAGCCCCCTCGTAAATAAAAATTTCTTGGGCTCGGGCCTCCGTCACGTAATCTATTAAGACAAAGTGCTGACCCAGACGCAATATTTCCGAACTACGATTCCCCGTTGAAAATTTCGGTAGGAAATCGCGCCCACGCATCTTCCGTCACGCTATCTTGGAGTTCCGTACCCCCGCTCTGGCTAGACTTTTTGGGGGAGAACGAGAGAACAAGGACGACCTTGACCCTTATTCGACGATCCCGGCGTGCAGGGGAGACTAGACTAACAGGAGAATGGGAAATGGCTATAAAACGGGGTAATGTAATTTATGAGAAAGGTCAATACTGGGACGAAATTTGCGTGGGTTGCTAAATATTCCATAACTTTGATTCAACACAGCGCAAAACCTTCAATGTGTGTATAACATCCGAAATTCGTATACTGAGGGGTTTCGAAACCGAGGGGGCGGCTTTTGACGTGTTGGAACAGATCTCATAATTCTAGTTAGCCACCTACCTTTGCTTCGATTAGAGCATTTGGAATTTTTTTACGCTGTTCACTCTTGATCATGTAAATACGTGTATCTACTAAAGAAGCCAGAAGAAAGCTGTTATGTTGAGACCCATAGAAGTTAGCGCTTATAAAAAAGAGATTCTGGCTAATTCTCACATATACCTAATAGTGTTAATTCGATTGTATCAGGCAAATAAATTGTAGGACCTAGGTAAACCTGAAAACAATTTTACTAGCAGTGCGAGTGGTCCGGTATCTTCGCTGTCCTGCAGTTGAGGACATGCTCTGCCCACAAACACCATGCTAATCGAATAAAATGAAATCATTTGAATCGCCATTACAGATCTGTGGTGTATCAAAAGCAAGGAAGGATTCATTTTTATTGAGGATTAGTTAGGACGAAGGGGGTTATTGTTGATCTATATTCAATATATATTATAGAATAAAGTATGAGTCCCGAGTCCCGGTACGATCAAGGAAGTTATAGTTATATGGTATGGTAACCTTCTATCTCCAGTTCATGAATAAGATTTCCTTTCTTACCTGAAGGACATGTATTGAAGATAGAAGAGCTGGAAATTTCGCCCTCTAGAAACTTCTAGAACAGTCCAGAAAATTCGAGAGTATTCCTCGACCTTTTGGATATTTGTGGAATGTTCGGAAACATTCCAAATCATCGTGGAACATTCCAGAACACTCTCGAATGTTGGAGAATATTCTGGAACATTTTGGACCACTTGAAGCCTTTTATTGCTTTTAAATTGAATTTACATTAGAGTGGATGCAATCAATTATGGCTATTTAGAAAGGGTGACTGATTCACAGAGTATTAGCAAACGCTTAGTAGGTAACAATATGATTTTTTTACAGAAAAATATACATAATTTATTTCAACAAATATTTTCCAGTTACCCTTTCATAGAAAGCCATATGAGCAAAACTCTTCGATGACCAGAATTCAATTTCTCTCTAAAACATAGATTGAAGATTCCAAAGACAAATTGGGTTAAATTTAATATACACTTATCCTTATACAATTCTTATGGTGCATGCGGGAATGTAACGTTGCTAAATTCACTTTTTGTTGGAAAAAATATGCACAACACCGCATAGGGGTCCCAGGGGATGACTCTCGCGCCTAGTGCTTAAAATAAGGGAGATGGCCGGCCCTTAAAACCCATTTGAGACCGACTTCCAATCCAGCCCAACACTGATCATGACATTTAATTATTGATCAGTCCCCATCTAAGTTAGATTCAAGTAAAGAACAGTGATTTTTTAGGCATTACAAGAATGTTCTTTAATGGAGTTATCTTGAACATATCCGAAACAATCGACTGAAGTATATAAGCAGAGCCACCCCGCCGCGTGACCTAGTTCAGTTGTGTATAGAATAGCGCGATAAGAAGATCTAAGAAGAAGCAATCAAAGAAGTGTGTGTCATATCGTGTCGAAAATAAAGTGTGGAAAGTATACTTAATGTATTTCTTGATGAAAAGATTTGATTTCAAATGACTTCTTTCGGTGTCACTTCGATCAACACAAGCAGAGATGGCGTTGTACAGAGTATCTTACACCACAAATACAATATCCATTAATCCATTCTCCTTCGTATTCAGAACAGCACTAGACCGAATGATTCGTGATGACTATAAAGTTATAATTCGAGCCGACAAGAGACCACCTGAAGAACGCGAATGTCGATTTATTCCACCTCGCATAGACGAAGTCGCCATCGTGATTGTGGACAATGAAAACACAAACAGTGACATAATTGTACAACAAAGAAGGAAAGGACTCCAACGCATTGCAGAGGCATACGGCTCATATGATGCTCTACAATATCCATTTATATTTTTATACGGGGAGGACGGATATCATTTCAATTTGAAACAAATTCAACTTGAAGCAGGTGTAGAAACAAACAAAAATGTCACTTCCAAGGAGTTCTATGCTTACCGCCTAATGATCAGAGATAATGAAACATACAATCACATGCTCAACACTAGCCGTTTATTCCAACAATTCCTGGTAGATATGTATACAAAAATAGAAGCGGAACGGTTGCCTTATATAAGACTAAATCAGAAGAAACTACGCGCGGAAGATTACATTGACGACATTGGAACAATGATGATCTTACCCTCATCTTACATAGGAAGTCAGAGACATATACACGAATACACTCATGATACCTTGACCTACGTAAGAAAATATGGACGACCTAACTTCTTCATTCACATGTACCTCAGGGTGGCCAGAAATCAAAGAACAACTAAGATACTGTTGCGCACAAATTTAACCCTTAAACTGTTGTAACAGGCCAAAATTGCACAACTAATTCTTACCTACTTTCAGTTTTCTATTCAAAATTCCCTTAAATTTGTCAACATTTTCTCTCTATAAAATTTCAACAACAATCTCAACGGTTGTAGATCCTGTAAATTTCCTAATTTTCAATAGTCAAATTCTATTTTCATTTGTTACTACTACTAGTTCCTGTGCTGTAATGATTTTTTCTCGATTTTAATCCAAATTTTAATTCAATTTCAAAATCAAAACAAATCAATATTTTGATTCCAATTTGAAATTTCATCATCTGATTTTCATAAACAAATAAATATTCAACTTCGTTGACCAGTCAGAAACAACTACTCCGAGGGCAAATACCCCTACCGGCGTTGAACTACACTGATTGGTCTGAGCTTTCGTTGGCAATGAAAATTGTTAGAGAGATTTTTTCAGGTAATGACCAACGTGAATACAGGAACACAACGGTCCTGTTTGGGAATCGACCCACTGAGCAGTGGACCCAGACTTCCCGTGCCAATCCTTGACGCGTTTCGTCCTTGTTAGGACTCATCAGAAGGACATAGGCTGAAGCTCCCTGTCCAAGCAAAATTGAACTTCGTTGACCAGTCAGAAACAACTACTCCGAGGGCAAATACCCCTACCGGCGTTGAACTACACTGATTGGTCTGAGCTTTCGTTGGCAATGAAAATTGTTAGAGAGATTTTTTCAGGTAATGACCAACGTGAATACAGGAACACAACGGTCCTGTTTGGGAATCGACCCACTGAGCAGTGGACCCAGACTTCCCGTGCCAATCCTTGACGCGTTTCGTCCTTGTTAGGACTCATCAGAAGGACATAGGCTGAAGCTCCCTGTCCAAGCAAAATTGAACTTCGTTGACCAGTCAGAAACAACTACTCCGAGGGCAAATACCCCTACCGGCGTTGAACTACACTGATTGGTCTGAGCTTTCGTTGGCAATGAAAATTGTTAGAGAGATTTTTTCAGGTAATGACCAACGTGAATACAGGAACACAACGGTCCTGTTTGGGAATCGACCCACTGAGCAGTGGACCCAGACTTCCCGTGCCAATCCTTGACTTGTCCAATGCTTGGACAGGGAGCTTCAGCCTATGTCCTTCTGATGAGTCCTAACAAGGACGAAACGCGTCAAGGATTGGCACGGGAAGTCTGGGTCCACTGCTCAGTGGGTCGATTCCCAAACAGGACCGTTGTGTTCCTGTATTCACGTTGGTCATTACCTGAAAAAATCTCTCTAACAATTTTCATTGCCAACGAAAGCTCAGACCAATCAGTGTAGTTCAACGCCGGTAGGGGTATTTGCCCTCGGAGTAGTTGTTTCTGACTGGTCAACGAAGTTCAATTTTGCTTGGACAGGGAGCTTCAGCCTATGTCCTTCTGATGAGTCCTAACAAGGACGAAACGCGTCAAGGATTGGCACGGGAAGTCTGGGTCCACTGCTCAGTGGGTCGATTCCCAAACAGGACCGTTGTGTTCCTGTATTCACGTTGGTCATTACCTGAAAAAATCTCTCTAACAATTTTCATTGCCAACGAAAGCTCAGACCAATCAGTGTAGTTCAACGCCGGTAGGGGTATTTGCCCTCGGAGTAGTTGTTTCTGACTGGTCAACGAAGTTCAATTTTGCTTGGACAGGGAGCTTCAGCCTATGTCCTTCTGATGAGTCCTAACAAGGACGAAACGCGTCAAGGATTGGCACGGGAAGTCTGGGTCCACTGCTCAGTGGGTCGATTCCCAAACAGGACCGTTGTGTTCCTGTATTCACGTTGGTCATTACCTGAAAAAATCTCTCTAACAAATAAATATTCATTTGTCAAAAATATTTTGTTTGGGGTTATGTTCCGAGATCAAATCCGTTTTCAAGTGTATGTACAGAGCTGCCCCGTTCGTACTTACTCTGTTCGGTCATTGAGTTATTAAACTCGGTGCAAGTTCCAGTGAAACCCGGGTCAATCATCGGTTCGATAGTCTTTGAGATGTTTTCTGCGCTATCATTGCTTTCGGTTTTTTGACTTTTGAAGTGTCATTAATTCTGTCAACTGGCAGTCGATTAGTAATGTTTTTAGTATCGTCGATTAATTTTTAAGCCCTCTAATTTTGCAAACGGATCACTTATGATTGTTTTATGGGATAGTTGTTTGTTGTTGATATCATTATTCGTCTGCCGTTGTCATTTTTCTCGGATTATATTGTTGTGTGCAATTTTTGGTAAGTGAGAATTCTATCGATTAATTTTTGACGTTTGTCGTTATCCTGAGGTCGTATTTTCGAATATTCTCGCATACGAAATTTGATTCGATTTCGAATACTCCCCATTTAATTTACATTGCTGTCAATCAAATTTCGTATACGAAATGTACTCGAATGAATTCGAAAATACGACCCCACAATCATCTCTGAATTTCTACCTGTAGCTTAGCTAATTGATGTTATGTCTAGCACTTTTCTTTCCACGTTTGACTGTTTGGAAGAAAAGGTCCTCCTGAAGAATTAATTTTTTTTCTTCACCTTAAAAAGGGATTTTGGACCTGGTTTTCTTCTTCATTGAATTTATGGCACACTGAGTTACCTTGCGTTGTGTTTCACTTTCGTAAAGTGCCATAATTTTCGCCGATGTTATCGGATCTAAAAAACAGCCATTTCGGTAAGTTGCTGCACACGTTTTTTTCCCACAGTAGATTCTGACTTTTTCAATTTAACCATTAGTTAAAAGCTGCCCTAAAGAGTAAAGTATCATCTCACTCACTCCAGGATATCCAATCCAGACTTCGATCCAGACTGCCAGAGATTTTCGAGGCAAACAAACCCTATTTCCATTATTATGATTTCATCTAATTTAATTAATTAATACATTATTGTTCAATTTTTCTATTAAAATAATTTTCAAGAGCTATAGTTTTTTTTTATCAAGTAAATTGAGTTACATTGTAGTTTCATTTTCTAATTCAATCTATTCGTGAAGTGCTTCGCTATGGTTCAATTACAAATACAGTGTGTTATAATACTGTTTCTCTTAGGGTTTTTTCTTTTACCCCCGAGTTTTTACTCGCGGTTACAACAATACACGTCCAATTGTAACCGAAATTGAACTATAAGGCTATCAGACACCAGCCTAAGTAGTTGGACGGTTACACCAGCCTTCTGGACTGTAAATTCTGAACAAACATTAAGATTGGTTGAACCATCTCAATCACAACCAGTAACCAGGAATAATCTGGTTGATTGTATCAACTACTATCACCTGGAACGGTATCGTAATCGTACTAGCTTTAATAAACCTATCTATCTATATTTTATTGTTTATTTACATTCTGTCTCTATTTGTACACCACAGTGATCACTACGGTATTTCAGGGAGTAATTCAGTGCTTGTCCCAATGTGGTAAATGAATTACTAATATAGGTTACTTAGCTAGGCATAACCTGATGAATTTATGTCAACTTACTGGTAGTTCTGGTTACGTAAGTGTAAGATAACCGCTCCGACAACTAATTATTCATTTTTTTTTTCTATTTCTCTTCAATTTATATTTAGAACTTTTCTATTTATACCTTTTTTTTATTATTCATTTGGTTATTGAGTTTTAATAACATTTTTGCATTTAAATTTAATTGTTCATGACTATAGCAATTATTTCAAAAGTATAGCATTTCTGTATTTGTTAGTTAACGCTTCATTACAAGGTCATTTTATTAATTGAATTAATGACAATTCAGTGATTGTACCTTTTAATAAATAGTAAATAGTTTTCGCACTTTGGTAATATTGCTAATTTACTTGATTATTCTTTTTTTATTATATTGTTCATTGTGGACTGCGGCCATTTGGTAAATAAACATACTATACCGCTCGATTTTGGTTTTATGCACACAGCCTAATTTTAGCTTTTCTTAAATATTTTTTTTTCTTTATTATTGTTTGAATTGTAAGGACCTGAAGCCAGATAACATCCTGGAGAGTCCGACTCATCTGTCCAGAGTCGGTGGCGCCCAAAACTAAAACCCAGCCCTTCTCTCCGAATTGTTTAGTTCTGAGCTAGGGCATAATTTGCACGCACTTCGACCTTCAGTTCTACAATCTCAAGATCCTTATTTGAATTTTATTTTGTATTTCATTTTTAATTTATTTTATTTTTTTTTATTTTTATTTTTATTTTTATTTTTATTTTTTTTTTTATTTTATTTTTCTAAACTTTTCAATCAGCGAAAAAACGTGGCACTGCTTGAATAATTACTTTGAATAAGTAAACCCTAATAGGCCTAGGTACAGTAAGACACCCTTAAGGAATGCGGCCAGCGCAACAAAGTGTTCGCGGCTACTCAGTGGTGTGGGAGTAGGTTCAATATTTAAAGTTAGCTTTATAGGGCACCACTGGTTTACAAAATAACATCCGCGGACTTATACCAGAAAGTCCCTGATCTCCAAAATTCCTATAAAAATGTACCTACCCGATGTACCTATCCTTTAAAATAACTTTACCTTAGTTTGATTGAGGTTAGTAGAGGTAAAATAATTTAAAAGCAATGATTATAAATCTATTTAATAAAATGAGGGGGGGTATGTTCAGAACTGGAATTGCATTACAAAGGCCAATAGAAGGCAATATACTATATAAAATACCACAGTATATATTATTATTAAATGTAAATGTCAAAATTACCAAAAGGTAGCAAGGACCAATTTGTAATGGTCTCATAAGATACTGTAATAAATTCAAGAATTATCAATACATTTTTGACCACCTTACCCCAATGAGAGTAAAAGAGAACAATTAAGGAATAAAAGAATAATAATATAAATTAAAACCTGTGCACGCTTATACCATGGTATACCAGGGCGGGTTTGTACAAAATGTCACCTTAAATATAGT